TGAAACTGGACTTTAAGGTAAAAAACGGGAAAGTGAAGTTTTGTTAATTTAAGAAATGAACTAATGTTTCTTTTCATTATTTTTTTTTGTAGGACACATAGAAGGACGCCAGCTTTAACATGAAACCGGACTTTAAGGTAAAAAATAGGGAAAGGGGAAGGGGAAGGGGATTTAGAACCAAGATTCTTAAAAATCTTGGTTTTTATTTTTTTTAATATTTCAGAACAGTTACTAACTGTTCCTTTCTTTTTATAGATTTCGGGCGGGCTTTCTAGTTCCGAAGAATGGAAAAGAACCAAGATTCGTAAGTAAACGAATCTTGGTTTAATTTTTTTTGTTTTTTTTTTGTAATATTAACGAACAGTTACTAATAACCATTTTTTTCTTTATTATTTTAGGATCAGGTTGACTTTCGAGTTCCGAAGAATGGAAAGAACCAAGTTTCGTAAGTACGAGTATGAAACTTGGTTTATTTTTTATTTTATTTTTTTTCCTATTATATGAACGGTTACTAACTGTTCCTTTCTTTTTCTTATAGGTTCGGCCATTTGGGTGAGTTTCCGAAGAACGGAAAAAAACTAAGATTCCATACTACGAATCTTAGTTTTTTCTTTTTTTAATATTTGGAACGGTTATTACTAACCGTTCTTTTTCTTTTATTTTTTATAGGTTCGGTGTCTCAGGAGGGGCTTCCGAGTTCCGAAGAATGAAAAAAAACCAAGATTCATAAGTATATACGAATCATGGTTTTAATTTTGTTTTTTTTTTAATTTTATTAATGAATGGTTACTAATAACCGTTCTTTCTTTTTTTAGGTTCACGAATTCCGAAGAACTGAAAAGAACCAAGATTCGTAAGTATATATGAATCTTGGTTTTAATTTTTTTGTTTTGTTTAATTTTATTAATGAACGGTTACTAATAACCATTCTTTTCTTTTTTAGGTTCGGGTGGGCTTCTGATCTTTGGAAAAAGTGGAACCAAAATTCGTAAGTAAATACGAATCTTGGTTTAATTTTTTTTATTATTATTATTACGAACGGTTACTAATAACCGTTCTTTTCTTTTTTTTTAGAATTGGGTGGATTTCCAAATTCCGAAGAACGGAAAATCAAGATTCGTAAGTAACTACTAATTACGAATCTTGATTTTTTTTTCTTTTTTTTTTAATATTATTAATGAACGGTTACTAATAACCGTTCTTTTCTTTTTTTAGGATCGGGTGGATTTTCAAATTCCAAAATACGGAAAAGAACCAAGATTCGTAAGTATATACAAATCTTGGTTTTGTTTTTGTTGTTTTTTTATTATTTGGAACGGTTTACTAACCGTTCCTTTCTTTTATTTTTTAGGTTTTGGGTTGACTTCCGAAGATCGGAAGAAAAGGAACCAAGATTCGTAAGTAAGTACGAATCTTGGTTTATTTTTTATTTTTATTTTTTATTATTTTGGAACGGGTACTAACCGTTCCTTTCTTTTATTTTATAGGTTCGGGTGGGCTTTCAAGTTCCGGAGAATGGAAAAAAATCAAGATTCGTAGATATATACGAATCTTGGTTAAAATTTTTTTATTAATATTAATGAACGGTTACTAATAACTGTTCTTTTCTTTTTTTTATAGGTTTTGGTGGATTTCTGACAAATGGATGAACTAAAACCAAGATTCGTAAGTACGAATCATGGTTTATTTTATTATTATTATTTTATTATAATTTTGAATTAGCAATATTTATTTGTAATTTAGATAGATGCTAATAATAATAATATAATTATAAAGTTTTTAAGCATTTAATTAATAAATACATTTAATAAATTTGATAATAAAAATTGAAATAAATTCAAAAAAAAATAGTCCGATTTTTGTCCGATTTAAGTTCTGAAGTACATCTTATTGACTGTCCAAATTTAGTATGATTTAGTTCTGATTTATGTCCGATTTAAGTTCCGAAGTACATCTGATTGGCAGTTAATCGGATAACAATCGGAATATATTTTTTTTGTAAAAATCGGACATATTTCAGCCGTAATTCGACCTAAAATCGGATATCCAATTTTTAGCCGATTTGCCTTATTTTGACTAGTGTAAAAAAATTTTTTTCTTTTGTAAACTCGCTTATTAAACTCCCCATCAACTTCACCATCAACTTTTCAACCAGTTTTTACATCAAGTAAGTTGAGGATTTTTGCAAGTATATTAGTAATTATTTTACATTAGACACAACTTGGAACTGTTTTTTTATTTTGTTTTTTTTATAGTTTATAAAAAAAATTTATTTAGAAAGCAAAATTATTCAAAAATCTTTCAATAAAGAAATAACTTTAAATATTAATAACAATAATTTAGCAAAATTAAATTATGTATTGATTAATATAATCTATTTGATATTTATTATTAATTATTTTTCAGTTAATTTTTTTTCGTTAAATCATTAAATATTCTGGATTTTTGTAAAGTTTTTCTTTTTTTTTTTAATAAACTAACTTTATAATATTTTTTTCATTTTTTTTCTAGAAACTCCTTTTACTGGTTTCAGATTAAAGAGGTAAATATTTTGGGAGAGATCTTAAAAGTTTTTTTTATATATTTTTAACATTTTTTCTTACGTAGGAATGGGTTTTGATCAATTTTAATCGGTACTGCACTACATAATTGATAATTGGCAAATTCTGCAAATCGGCGGATATGTTTGTACAAAATCAATAAAATAAAGATGACCAACAGTTGAAAATGGGATTCCACAACAAATAAAAAATTGTATATAAAGTACTTGATTAATTTTATCCTTTTTACTTACAGTAAGTTCAGCTGATGAATCTGAATCTGATTTTTGTTTTCTATTCGTAGATGTAGTTCCAGTTGCCATTATTTCCATATATTCCATTTTAGTAGATAGTAGAACTTCTTTATAATACAATGCTAGGTATGACTTCAAAATTTCTGGTTTTTTTCTAAATCAGTTTTAGTTACAGTAATTACATCTGGCTATATAATACCCACTACTTTATAGCTCTTTAAAATTATGATTCCAGACATGTGATTCTTTATGACTTCTTTTAACTTCTCTGGTATTTTGATTATCAAATGAATCTGAACCTGTTGAATTTATTTTTACAGACATAAAGATTATATAAAAAGCAAGGACGTAATACGCAATTTGTAAGATTTATTAAAGTTAAAAAAAAAATTATCAAACCCGTAATTCATGTTATACATTTATTATATATAACACAAAATATTTAATTTTCATAATTATTTTATAAAATAAAAATTTTAAAAGTTTTTGATTTATTCCATCATAAACTCGCATTTGTTATCAATGGTTAAGCCATTTGTCTAAGCTAATTCAATTCCAGTAGATAACTAAATAATATTTCTAAAAGAAAGAATGTAAGTTAATGATATTTTTAAAAGTAAATTGAATGTTATATACCAGAAAGTCCAGAAAGTCAACAAAAATCATTTTTAAAAAAAAATAAAAAAGAAATGAAGTTAGTAACATTTTGAAAATAAACATTGAAGAAAACTATCTTCACTTACCAGAAAATCAGGAGACCTGCAAGAGATGTTCCTAAAAAAAAATAAAGGAATGAAATTTCTAAAAGTAAATACTAAAGAAAAATCCTCTTTTACATACAATGAAATCCATGAAATCC